AAAAAAGCCAGAAGTGGCACTGTGGCTCAAGTGGTAGAGCGCTAGCCTCGAGCTGAAGAACTGAGGGACAGTACCCAGGCCCAGAGTTCAGGCCCCATGACCGGACCCCCCCCCAAAAAAAGAACTCGGCTACTTGGTAGCTCAAAAATAAGGGATTTAAGAAACTTGAAATTTCAAATGCTAAATCCCATGGTAAATTTCAAATGTAATTCTCCAAGAAGACTCTTGGTTCCAGCTACTAACAGAAGTATTCCAATGATCATCAGCTTACCATCACATTGGCTGTTCCTATGCGATTACACCAAAGTTACTAGACACAGTTTATTTGTAGAGACATAAAGATAGGTTATACAACACCTTGAAAGTAAACTTGAAGTAAATGATATTAGGAACAAAAAGCATGATGAAACCAACTCCCCTGCTTCCTGGAGAACAAATGTTTACAAAAGACTTGAAGCCAGGAAAATGGAGATCCATAATCACAAAGGGCAAGATAATCAGTAGAATCTACTAAGTCTCCATAAATGACAAAACTAAAAACTGGAAACCAAACAAACCTCAAGCCCTCCTCTACTCTGAAGGAAAGAATGCTAAAGAGCTTTGACCTCTTCTGCCCTACTACCTACCACAGAAACCCCAGCCAGCAGCTGATTTTAAAATAACCAACTCTCAAAAAATTATGGAAGATTGCTATCTAAAACACACACACACACACACACACACACACACACACACACACACACAATCACTTTGATCACATAGGTCAAGTCCACACTGGCATAAGTAGTAATTATTGAGGAAGGGGTAATTTATTTTAATAACCAATTCTTTTTCAGATTTGCCACAGAACTAAGCCAACTTAATTAGGAAGGCACAATAGTATTGGATTGAACTATTTTTTAATCTTAAGACTTTTTATTATAGAGAAAAAGTTTGGACAATTTAAACAATTACATGCTTTTTTTCTTCTTTGCTGTATCTCAATTCTTGCTAATCTACAAAGTATTGAACTGAACGTGGTTCATTCTTAATCTTTTATATCTTGTCTTCTTTTTAGAAAAATTTAAAGTGTATTTTAAAAGGTAAGTATTGGTGGCTAGTTTCTATGAGTAATAAGTCATATTCCCGAGTTCCCAGACTGTTGCCCTGGAGAAAAATATGCCAAATTCTGACATCTGTGAAAACTCCTGTGTACTTAAAGCATAGAATATCTAGAGCTTCTGCCATGATGCTTCTGGATGATTGTGTTAATGCACCTTCAACATTTCACAATATCCCTTCCCAAACACCAGAGATTGTGGCCTGCATAGCGCTACTTGTTCCCACGTTGGCATTTTTTCCCATTTGGATGCAACATCTGCTAAGAAGCAAAGTCATGTGAAAGAAAATAGAACCTGGAGTTACAGTGATTTCGTGAGTGTCTTCTAAAGCTGTAGTGACCAGTGCCAATCCCAGTTTTCCATCTCCCAACTACTTTACTATAGGCTATTTAAAGATCTTACTTCAGTTTTCTCATTGTCAAATGGTGATGATTACCAATAACTGCCTTAATAGAGTTCTAAGGTTTAAAGGACTTTTCTTTTTTTTGTCCACTTTGGGGCTTGAACTCAGGCCTGGTTACTATCTCTGAGCTCCCTTGCTCAAGGCTAGTGCTCTACCACTTTGACACAGTGCCACTTCCAGTTTCCTTGTGGTTAGTTGGAGATAAAAGTCTTATGGACTTTCTTGCTGGGGATCGTTTTGAACCACATTCGTCAGATTTCAGCCTCCTGTGTAGCTAGGATTATATGCATGAGCCCCTAGAGCCCAGCTTAAAGGACTCTTTAAAGGGTTTAGAAGAGTCTCAGGTATCCTGAGCACTCTGTAAGTGTCAGCAACTATTAGTATTAATTGTATGACTCAGAATCTCATCTAACCTATCTGGGAATCTATTTTATCTTTTGAACAAAATAAGATCACAATTTCACATGTTACTTAGAAAGATCAAATAAATTCAAATGAGATAACACATGAGAGTTATTGAGGCATAATCAACTATTAGACAATTCCTATAACCAGCTAGAATTACTTCCTTTCTTCTCTGTTTACACACACACACACACACACTCACACATGTTGCACCACACCCTCTCCATCCCTCTGCTGTAACACTTTATATTGCATATGAGGATCTCTTACCTGTCCATCTCTCCCACTAACAGTGTATCCTCTGACTCACCTCTGCATTCTCAGCACATTAGACATACCTGGCATAGGACAGGTACTCAATAAATATTTGCTTAAATGAATATCATCACAACAGTTGTGCAAGAACACTCAAGACTTTCCTTTGCCCAGAATGATGGATTATCACTTTTGTATTGTGTCCATAGTAGACTACTAAAAAAGTGCTTGTTTCTGTCTGCAGAGGTAAGATACTAAGCTTGTGCCCTTCATATGCTGCCAATTTTATTGGTTGCATTTGTTTATTCTTTTCACCTCATAAATACTTATTCAGCACCTATATGGGTCAGGTCATAATCTGAGCTCTATCTATTGCACAAGTGGTAAATGCCAATGGCATTTAACTCTGCTTACCAGACATAGAAGTAACCTATTTACTGTAGAACCATCTACCCTTTGCAATAATAAACTCCCTAATTTGAGTGCTACATTAGAGTGCTAAGATCTCAGAGTGGAAAAGAATGGTTTCTAGAACTAAGGATTGTTATAACATGATAATTAAGGTCAAGGATCTGACTGATTGAGTTCAAATCCTGGATCTGCACCAAGATGTAAGACCTTAGGCAAATTGTAAAGCCTCTATGCCTCACTTTTCTCATCTGTAAAAACAGAGCTAGTAAGATAGATGTGAGTATTAAAAATGGAAACCTTGGGCTGGGAAGGTGGCTCAGTGGTAGAGTGCTTGCCTCACATACATGAGGCCCTGGGTTCGATTTCTTAGCACCGCATAAGCAGAAAAAACTGCAAGTAGTGCTGTGTCTCAGGTGGTAGAGTGCTAGCCATGAGCTGAAGAGCTGAGGGACAGTGCCCAGGCCCAGAGTTCAGGCCCCACGACCGACCAAAAAAAAAAAAGGAAACCTTTCAGTATATGGTGGTACATGTCTGTAATACCAGCAATCAGGAACTAGAAGGCAGAAGGATTGAGGGTGCAAGGCCAACCTGAACTATGTCGTGAGACTTTGTCCCAAATAACAAAACAAAAAGAGAGACAAAGAAAAAGAGAAAGATAAAAGAAAAAGGCATAAATGAAATAATAATCACTTATTATGGTGTGTGCCATATAACAGATACACATTGCAATACATGCTTACTTGTTATCTTACTCTCCCCACTCTGTTACTCCCACACTCAGTGTTTAAACTTCCATTACAAATTTTCCCATGGTTTCTCAGCTTCTAGACACTCTACCCCCTTTTCAGGGAACCAACTACCTCCTGTGATTGTCCATTTAATGCCTAGTTGTTGATAAATTATATGATGTTGAAATATACATGCTTCTAGCTTCTACTCATTGGGCCTTGATTTCCTAGGAAGAGTGGTATGTCTCCAATGTATGTTAGCCCCCCTAAGACTTCAGAAAGCAGCTATGAATGTTGTCACTCTCCCCTTCACCCACACATAACCTTAAAACCCTCTTGCTATTGCTGAATGACAATTTGTCCAACCCTTTTGTTTCCTTTTCTCTGTTCTTGAATATTTTCATTTATCAATGTCTCTGAATATCTGAAGACAAGAATTTATAAAACAAAACAAAATGTGGTTTGATCACAAGGAGTACTAGAGAACTAGGCCCCTTTTGAACACTATAGTTCTATTAATACAGAAGATAAATTTTTTTGGAAGCAGCATCACACTGTGTTGACTCATTATCTCCTTAAAATCAGCAGGAAGACCTGAGGGTGTGTTGTTTGCAAGTCATCCACCCTCACCCTGTGCTTGTATAACTGAATTTTGGGGATCTTTGAGTACTTTATATTTATACCCATTAGCTTTGTATTATTAGATATGATTCATTATTGCATTTGTCAGGACTTGGGAATAACAAATTCTGATTGTATCCACAAACTTATGTGTTATCCCTTTGGTTGCATGTCATCTGTAAATTTCTTCAGTATGCCATCAATGTTATCATCTTAGGGATCAATAAAAATATCAAAGGAGACAGATACAATCAGGACCTGCTTTAGATCCTAAAGACCTACTAAAAGCAACAAAACAACTTTTATAAGACATTCATTCATTCAGTCAGCAAGTATTTGTTGGGTGTATTCTATGTACTATTCCATGTGTTGAACAAAACAAAATCCCTGCCTTCCTGAAGCTTACATTCTTGAGAGACAATCTAAAAAAGAATATAAGTAAATAACATTAATGTCATGAAAAAACAAATGCAAAAAAGAGAGAACAAGGAGGAGGCAATAGCTGTTTATAGCAAATTGGCTGAAGTTGAACTGCATTGCTCTTGTCTGTGTTCTTAGTCTGGATCTAGGTTGCCCAGTGTGGGTAGCAAGTCTTTGTGACTCCACAAAATCCCTGTTCTCCATCTGGAGTCACATTAGGAAAAAAAATCAATAAAGCAATGATGAGTTTAATTCATCATGAAACAAAATAGAAAATTTAGAAAATCATGAGACTTCCCTTTCCTTTGGACACAGATATTCAACATTTTAAGAAAAACTCAAATCACCAGGAAGCTAGTCACATCTGATGACGTTTCAGAGTGGAGAAGTTTTAAAATATTGCTCTTTAGAAACAGAACGTAGTTTTAAAAATATAATAGAGAAAAAAAAAAGCCTGAAAAACTGCTCCTTACCTTATTCCAATCCCCATGTTCTCAGGTATGGAGTGGGTAAATCAAGCCGCTTATGGAGAATCAGCAGATAGGGTGCTTGGCTGACCTGAATGCATGGCTTGCAGTCTGAACATTGAGCTCTGGAAAAGAAGCCCAGAGGGACAGCTTAGAAATCTGCCTCTACTCACTGTTCTTTGTTCATGATTCTAATGTTTTGGTGGAGCATTCTATTATGTTTAATCTTTAAATCCTTTTGATGTCAGAAGGACTTGATACTTTTTATTTCATAAAATACAAGTTGTAGCTTTTGATTAGAACTTTCTACATTCTCACAATGAGACATTCAGTTTTTGAGCATTTTTTTTATTGTGAAAATACTGTACAGTGGGGTTACAATTACATGGGCAAGACAATGAGTACATTTCTCATCAAGCATTGTAGCCTCCTCCTTTGTTTCCCCTTCCCATCCCATCCCATCCTCCCCCTACCCCCGCACCCCTCCACCCCCCCCACACCAAAGTTGTAAAGTTCGTTTTCGACATAACGACTTGTCTCATTGTTGTTTTTTTTTTGTACATCTCATTGTTGCAATGGTTCCACCTGTATCCCTATTTAAACATTTTTTTTGTACCAGATATTTTGCAAGTACAAGGAATATAAAGGTAAGCAGGATAAATATGATCTCTGCTTACAAGGAATTCACCTTAGAGGGCACGATAAGAATCAGGAAAGTCAGCTCTGATGAAGCAGTATGTTTTGAAGTGAAAAGGAATCAAGGATGGGGAGTTAGTGACTTCTATAGAGATTTACAAGGTGTGAAGGATTTAGTCCTACAGAGAAGTAGGAAGTCTGCCTGTGGTGCAGGACACAGCATATCACACTGAGGAAGTCACAGAGATGACTCCATGCTGAGTCCTAAACACAGTAAGGCACAGTTGAGGAAGCATGCATCAACTAGGGATGAGCCTGGAAAGGCAGAATATTAAATTATGTAGAAATTTACAAGACCTATGTATAGAGAAGATAGACTGTACTGAAATGAATGATTGCATGTTGGAGTTTTGAAGAGAAGTCAAGACTAGGGGTCAGATTTTGGACTTAGATAAGAGAGTGAATAGTAATATCACATGAATACAAGATGGAGTTGTGGGGGAGAATGTGACACATTCAGCATTGGTTGTGTTTGTGATGCTTGACATTCACAGAACAGCAGTAGGCAGCTGGATCTAGAAGTTTAAAGGTACAGGTTTGGAAATCATTACACCAGATAATAGAATTTACAGTGATGAGTGAGACTGTGGAAGGTGTTTGGAGAAGAAAAGGACCCAGAAGAGAATCCAGAGGAATACCACAGCTCTAAGGATGGGAGAGAAGGGATTCCCCAGAAACAGCAGGAAGTTGAACCAGAGAGGCAGAGAGAAACAAGAAGTGTGAACTGTCTCAGAGGACAAGGGAATAGCACATTTCAGGAAGTACATTACTGCCAGATGCCAGTGGCTCATGCTGGTAATCCTAGCTAATTATAGGCTTGAGATCTGAGAATTGAGGTTCAAAGCCAGCCCAGGCAGGAAAATCCTGAGACTCCTATCTCCAATTAACCACCAGAAAACCAGCAGTGGAAATATGGCTCAAAAGTGTTAGAGTGCTAGCCCTGAACAAGAACACTCAGGGACAATGCCTAGCCCTGAGTTCAAGCCCCACAAGCAACAACAGAACACGTACATTATTAGCTGGGGTGCCCACAAGCAACAACAAAAGAAGTACATTATTAGCTGGGGTGCCTATTCAGGAGACTGAGATGAGCAGATCTTTGTTCAGAGCCAGCCCAGGCAGGAATGTCTTTGAGACTCATCTCCAGTTAATAATGATGGCTCAAGTGGCAGAGTACCAGCTTTGAGTGAAAGAGCTAAAGGACAGCACCCAGGCTCTGAATTCAAGCCCAGAACCAGCACACACAAAGTATATTATGTTCAATAAAGTGCTATAAGATGCTATAAATGCTATAAAATGTTTTAAGATAAAGTAGTAAAGATTGAAGAGCACCCATAGGTGCCCCTAGAAGCTATTTGACCAGTTTGGCAAGAAACTGGGTCAGTGGATCAGTGGATACAGAAGGCAGGCCACAGTGCATTGAGAAAAAAATGGAACCAATGCATTCAGGCAACTTAAAAAAAAAGTTTGCCTTAAAAGAGGAAGATGTGAAAGACATAACCCCTAGACTTTTTTCCTAAGGATAGAAATATTGGGCCCTTATAGAACCAACCTCTTTCCCTCCCTCCTCGCCGCCCCCCCAGCAGTACTGGGAATTGAACTCAGAGCCTCATGCAAGCACTCTACTGCTTGAGTCATACATATCCTCTGTCCATGCTCCTAGTTATGTTGAGCTTAGGTTTCCTTCCTGGGAAGGAGATATGGTGCCCATCTTATTTATCCAATAAAAAATACTCACCTCTCCTTTTTATAAATATTCCCAGTATTGCTAAAAATCTGATTCATCCTTGGAATTAATTCTTAGAATTAATTCTCTACACAAGTAGATGAACACATACTGGGTCTTCTGAGTGGCACAATAAGTTTCCATGATGTCAGGATACTGGGTGGCATTTCTGTGGATGCAAGTCCTATAGAATAGGAACTTTTCTGGGTTTGTGTCAGGTGATCAAGATCTGGTTCTGGTATGAAATAGCCTGAGAGCCAAAAACATTAGGGGACTGGTTTGCCTTGACATTAATCTTGTGGTGGCTGTAATTTATGGGCATGATCTGAATAGCTGTTGCTTGAACTATGTGAAGTGCTTGCTTATTGGGTCACCGTCTGTGCTGGAAGACCCTCTACGTAAAAAGCAACTGAGCCAGATGCAGTGGCTTATTTGTGTAATTCTAACTACTTAGGAGGCTGAGATCTGAGGATCATAATTCCAAACTAGCTCAGGCAGAAAAATCCGTGAGACTCTTATTTCCATCTATCTAGCAAAAAGCTGGAAGTAGAAGTGCGGCTCAAATGGTAGAGCACCAGTCTTGAGGAAAAAGCTAAACAACAGAGCTTAAGGCCCTGTGTTTAATTTCCAGTACCAGCACATACATGCATACATGAAAGTGCAAATTGAGACACTCTTTCATCACACTTACCTAAAGCCAGAAGGATTACTGGTTTACCTTGTTTCTGCTGGTGTTTTCCACCTATAGCTATCCTGAAAGCCCCTAACTCCCCATCTTCCTGCCTCATCCTTCCTTCTTCTAGGATTATAGGTGTGTTCTTCCATGCCTCATTCTCTAAGTTATTTATTTATTTACTGCTTACTTTGTTCTAGTACTAGGGCTTGAACTCAGGACCTCACTCTGTTGCTCTACCACAGGAACCACACCTCAACTTTCTCTATTATTTAGTTTCCTGTCATCTGTAACAGGCATTGTCAGTTAGGATACAACTTTTTTAAACTGTAACTTTCAGCAGAGCACTGGTGATTCTCCTGTAATCTTAGTTACTCAGGAGGATGAGATCTGAGAATCTGAGAATTCAAAGTTAGTCTGGGCAGAAAAGTCCATAAGACTTTTTATCTCCAGTTAATCAGCGAAAAGCCACTGTGGCTCCAGTGGTAGAGCACTAGCCTTGAATGAAAAAGCCAAGCAAGAGTGCAAGGCCCTGGATTCAACTTCCAATGCTGGCATAGAGAGGGGTGGGGGAAGTGGAGGAAGAAAAAAAAGGAAGGAAGAAATCACTCTGGAAAATTATATTGCTAAATGGGTTATGAATGCAGATTCTGGTATAAGGCTGGTTAGGTATCTATTCTCACAGCTTATTATCATGGCTCAGGTTATGGAGGAGTCAGGAGAGGAGTTTGGTCACCTTGAAGTCTGGAACAGGCATCTGGCCCCACAGCTGGCCTGGCAGCTATGCAAGCAGAGAGCTTCTCTGAGAGAAGTCAAAATAAGTATGTCAGGTGGACAACAGGATTGTAAGCGTGAGCAATGCTGAAGGTTGGTCCCGGGGAGTAAAGTTAGCGAAGTCGCAATGAATGGACACCAATGGGTCTGTGTGGACAAGATCGAAAAAGCAGATGAGCTGAAGCCACTACATACCACATAGAGGCTAGACCTAATTATGTCTATAGATGAGCTCAGGCACCAGAAGCTAATTGTGACCCTTATTCCTCCCAAGGCACAATCCTGGAAAGAGAGTTTCTGATATTCACAATTCCTATACCTCATTGTCATAGTCTTCTCTTTGGCATCATGACCCTCCATTCTCAAAGACAGGAGTTGCTCTTGAGTGCGCACAAACATCAGGTATAACTGGTTCAGGAAGGTGAGAGGACATATGCCCAACTACTCGTCCCCTAAGAGCCAGGACTTTAAACAGAGATCTGCCAGTTCATTTCATCCTGAAGTCAACAACAAAACCAACTGTGCTGCTTACTGAGTGAAAACATTGTTTCCAGATGGTAATACTTCCAGGATGCCTAGGTTCTCTAAAACACACTCACATGGTGCCTGCACAGAAATGTTAACTGCCATTGCTTTGTGATTGAACACAGAGAAGAGAAAGAGCTGTGGTAAACACCACATACAAACCCAATAGTTTTGCTTTGTGCACAGATATGCTGTACAGTTTTCAGCTTGAGATTTTTTTTATTTCAAGTCAATCATCTACCTGCTGGATATTGTTTAAAGAAGAGTGTTCATTTTATTTGATAGGACTGAAAAGAAAAAAAGCTAAATAATACCTCATTTGTATATAATGCCTGTCTTTTAAGAAGACATCATACCTGTTTGAACTCTTTAATTTAGACTAACAACACTTTTATAATGTAAATACCAATAAGGGCTATTATCATTTTACAGATTAGACAGGAAAGAAATCAAAGGAGGGAATCAGATGACTGGTTCGTGTGATTTCCATTTTAGAAGTGTCACAGCTAGCTTTTCATTTTTTATAAACAATGAAATCCTGTTTTGGATAAATACATTTATTATGGTGTACCTTGCCCTTAAATTTTAAAAGAAAAAACGTATTGCTTAAAAGAAACCAAAACACTCAGATCACATTTCTTTTGAAAATCTAAATAAGTTTCCACTGCCTAGCTCTACTGTTCATCACTTGGTTCTTACCATCTAGGACCACACATATTACAAATGGACTG